ATAAAACTATAAATTTGCCTCAGTCCATTTGGTGTTCAGTTTAGACAGGTTTATTTTTTATTATAAATCTCTATAAACTGAACAGCAATTTTCTTCGTCCCTTTGGTGTTTAGTTTAGGCAGGTTTCACCTTGATTAGAAACCTCTATAAATTGAACTCATCTGTCAACTGAACCATCACCAGTCTTTAGTGTTCAGTTTAGACAGGTTTCATTGTGTTCAGAAACTTCTATTTATAATGCATCTGTAAACAAAATATTTTTTTTTTTTTTTTTTTTGGCATTTTGACTGTATGAAAATAGTAAAAAAAAATTATAAAACTACTATATTTAGAAAATTTAGAAATGTACCTATTTCTACTGCCTCGGTGCAAACAAAATATATTATATAATTACACATAAATTATTTGAAGCTAGTAAAAAAAAAAATTCCTACTAATTCTCAGATGACTAATAAATAAGTGAATTGTAGAAAAAAAATTATTCTGAAAATTTGATTTTAACGAATTTCTGAATTGTTTTGTATGACAGCCACCGTAACTCAATGTACTTTTATTGAATTTGCTGGTAATCACTCATCCAACCCAACTGTCTTTCTATTCTTCTGGAAATTATGCCAATAGACTTCATTTGTAGTCAGTGTCATGCCCCAACCATTTTGCCTTTCCTTTCTGCATACTTAATGTTGTGGTTGGACGTCATTAGATATATTCATTGGCGTACAAGAGTAAAACACTTGCTTTTTCAGTCGCTCTGAGTCATTGGCAAGTTAACGTTGTTTGTGCTCTGCATTCATTCTCACTCAAGAATGCTTCCCGGAAGCACGCACAAATACATACGCACGAATTTCTAATCGTGTAACGTGTGAGCTCTATTCGCGGCGTGTAACCGGCCCATGGGTTATATAAGTGAATCTATCTCAATGGAGGCTCTGTTTCTCACCAGATACCTGGAGTATAGTCTTGACTTAGAAGACAGGATGGGACGTAAAATAAACCTGGCACATCTTTCCGAAGATGAATGTCGGACCATTTTAGAAGTCATCCAGCGAGATTTCAAATTACGCCAAGGAGAAGAAAAACGAATCAAGTAAGTCTAATACGTTTTTATTGATAATACATGTACTTATCCCCATTTTGTGTGTTTGCTAAGATTCTGCTGCACTCACTCAACATTACTGGAATTACAATGTAGGTCTAAAATAACTATATACTGACTAACCAACTTTTTTATTTTCTGGATTTTATGACTCTTTTTCAATCTCTCAGACGTAATTTTTAAAAGAAAGCAATTGTATATTATATCGATAATTACTTGAAAAAAAGAAAAGAAATTACTCAGCGTTTGAATGATTTGGATAGATTGTGTATATTATTGAGCCGCTGTGATTCATCAGTCATTGAGTGCATTAATTGTAACATCTGTCTAGTGCAGAGTTCCTTCTACACATCAGAATGTAAAATTTGACTGACGAACTCAGAAGTTTAAGATGTCACATATCTCTCGTTATGACCTCACACCATGTACATGTGCTGTGTACAACTATAGGTTTGGTGACGTTGCTTGAATTTTAAAATATTTTCCAGTCGAACACTCCGCACATTTTTATCTGATGTTGAATTGCTATTCCATTTTTTAAAGTGGTACATGTTTTGATTCTGTAAAAAACAAACAATGAATTTGAAATGCATTGAGTTATGTGTCATGTAACCCATATCAAGTACAACAATGGTGTGGTTTTAATATCCACAAAATATGATTTGTTTATGCTTGATATTATTTTCAGGAAAAGAGTGTTGAGTGGGGGGGGGGGGTATATGAAAGTAAAGTGAACAAAAATTTTTTTGTATGAAACCTTGCCCCCTTTCCAAACGGTCAGACATCCTTTTATTTATATAGGAGAACTTTCAGAAATGTATAAATGAAAATATTATTTGCCCATGGGTATGTATGTAATAACAGGGATTTTTTTAAACAAGGGAACAGGGGCGCAGTGCCCTCATGCCATGGACAATACCCTCTTTACCCTGGGGAGCAGATCCTCTGGCAACCATAAAATTCATCATGTGGCCACAGTCTTCAACTGTTACCTGTCTGATAGTAATTTTGGCCCCATGGAAGCCATAGAAAGCTCCATTTTAACTTAGAATTATCAAAAACTCCACACCCTGGTAGGGAGAACATCCGCCACTTGGTGGTGCCGCTGAATTGCAGTGCTCCCTTTTGCAGTTTTTTTCTAGAAAAACCCCTGTAATAAAATAGACTAGATAAATCTGAACTCATCTTTGTCTTCACTTTATTGATTGCTAGTAGTTTACATGTATATGCATGGTGAAGATTTAAAGGGCGGCAGTCGTCGCGCCGCTTCCTGTTCGATATGCGACTCATAGCGACGTATACAACGCGTGTAAAATACATTGTTTATTTACATATAATTCGAACACACGCTGCGCGACGACCACCGCGCTTTAAGGTGAAGCTGTCTTAACAGTCGACCTCTGCTAGCATACACATCTTCTGTAGTTTTTAACCAGGAATTATTTGAATCTCATCGGTGTTCAGTTTTGACACATTTGCGATAGAAAATCTATTTTATGAAGAGCATGAATGTATTTTGTCCTGATAATATCAATGTGAAAGATTGCTAGTTTCTATAACAAAAAGATTCGTTGTCGCGCCACGGACGTGCAAGATTTGTGTTAATTTTTCCCCAACCCATTGCATCAGTACTCTCCCATGGAAT